AATAGAATGCACAATAGAACCTCATATAGCCTCCGCGTCTTGGGTGACCCGCGGTCACTTAGCGGCATGCACTCGTCCGCGCTCTCTTCCTCCTCCACTCCCCCTCCCCTAGACTGCTCTAGGGAACCCTGCCCTCATAACCAGCCTTCTTTTACCAAGCCCTCCCGTCGATTCCCACGACTCAATTGCATGAAAAGTCGAACACATTTTAGCTTCGCTTGTACCGCGTTCCTATAGGAATGTGCTGGCCTGACGATAATTTATCGAAAGCTTACTTATGCACGCCAACTACTATTCTGGTTTGAGTTTCTCTGTTATGAACTTGGCTACCACATGATAGGGCGAGTTTCGCATGTCCAAAATCGGACGAAATTGCAAACCTTGCTTGCGGACCTTAGGTAGACCCATAAAAGCGGGAATGTGAATACCTAGTGTTTCTAGGCTTTCGAGGTCATGGTCGCCTATGAATTATTTGAGCAGCAAATATATAGACAGATAGATGGCGTCGATATGGGCTCACCTGTTGGTTACTCTCTTAATGAGAAAGTTGGAGAAATTTAAATTTTGTGATCAGGTCAATAAGTTCAATCACTACGGTCGGTACGCTGATGATATCATCGTCATCGAGTCAAAAGAAACTGATGTAGATGTGCTCCTAAATACTGTCAATCAAGCACAACCTTCCATTAAGTTCATGTTAGAGATGGAAATGGCAGGCTCGCTTCCATTCCTGGACATCCTTTAAAGTGTAAGTTCCTTCGATAGCGTCCGAATGCAAGCTTCTCGAAAGAAAACCTGGTCCGGACAGCATATAAACTTCAAAAATATGGAACCCATCTAACAGGAATATAATATAGTCCGCTGCTTAAGGCTGAGGTCTAGAAAGACATTCACGACAGACAATATTGCGGTGGAATTTAAGAAAATCCAGGATCTGCATCGTGAGAACGGGTACTCTGAGAGATTCATCTCAAAGAATATGGTGGCGAGATAGAGAAAGCATTCACCAGACTCATTGCGGAAGGGAAGACACTATGTCCCAAAGTCCCCTCTCAAGGGGACGTGACAAGCGAACCCCTGGAAAGACGCCTTGACCAAGCCGTGTCACAAACCTGCCCAGTAGCAAGCCTTTGGTTATTGCCAATAGAAGTGAATATGCGAGTTCCGGGAAGCAGTTCAGAAGAAGAGGCGACCACTGGAACAAGAGTCTTATTTTCCTGACGTTTCACATTCCATTGGGAATCCTTTATCATAGGTAACGGTAGGATGATCGAAGCCATGCGCAGATAAAGGTTCGGTTATTATTCGTAACCAACCCGGTCCTGCAGCTGGAGGTTAGAGATAGATTGCCAGGTCAGACCACCTTCATGTGCATCTACTCATTTACTTGGACCTGTGGAGCAGGTTACATAGGTCGCAGGAGTCGGGGAGTATTAAAAAGAATAGGGGGGTTCCTCGTGGCGTGGCTGATCAAAGTTGATGTGAGGAGCACAAACAGCCCTATGCAGCCCACATTACTGTTTGCGGACTTCGCGTGGGTCACAGCGAATCCTTTCGGGTGATTTATAAGGTGCCCCAAAACTATCCAAATATATATGTATACAGTAACAAGGTAGTTTGCTATACGGAAGCCTATTAGATTAGCGTAAGTTTCCTTATGATTACTTATCATTCAAACTATATATTTATGTCTACCGGACAACTAATATACGCAGCTGATAATATAGCTCGAGAGACTTGCGCTTCTAAACAAAAAGTAATGTTCCTCTTTTCCTATCCCTTAATCAGACGACTTTGTAGTAAAGATATTGAGTTCAGTTCAGTGCAGTTATTTTTAACTAGCAGGTGCACGAACACCTTTAATATCCCCATTGGTTTCAATAACATGGAA